CGGGGCCAAGCTCTGTTCCTCCTCCAGGGTGTGCCCGAACCTTCACCTGGGTACCACATGAGGTGTGGTATCTATGCCTGTGCCACGGTGCATTTAACCTACAGATCACACTTGGAAACGGTGGGAGGAGTGGGTTGAAGTACGTGACAGGCAGCTCGAATATGCACAGTTTGGTCCTGGATCCGGTTCTGGGTTTGGCTTTTCAAAGTTTGTGTTGCAGACCAAAAGGCGGCAGTGACACGATTTTTTTGATTAATTCCCCTTTGGTACTTTTCTACGGAGACTTGTCAGGAGGCAAGGCCTCGGGGAAATAGAATTTCAAATGATTGGGACCGATTTACAGGCAACAGCAAGAGACTGGGATCACGTCGTCCTCGCTCCTGCCCCCTGTGCTGGTCTGTACCCTGAAATGAACTATTTTTGGAGCACCGGTATGCAGAGCATTTTTGCAGTTACACACAAAATAAAGGGATTTCAGAACAAAAGATTGTTCTGGACAGTCAAACTGGAATGAGTTGGAAGGATACATTTAGGAAGTGGTTTCTTGGACACTAATTAGGACCATTTGCTTGGGGTTGCCATTATTATCCTTTAAGACTGGAGGGCACGATAGATCAAATGATTTATGTATCATTAACAATTCTTGTTAACCATAAACAGGGTTGGGCTTTTCCATACTGATTACCAAGTAATGCAATAAGGACTTGTTTTATTTCTTCTGCAGTGTCCATATGAGCAAGCTAATGTGAAAATGAGTCCAAAAAGAAGCATTTCAATAATTTTTTCTTCTTTTTTTTTTCTTCTTCTTCTTCTTCTTCTTCTTTTTTTTTTTTTTTAATAAATTACCATTAGCTTTTTTTCATTCTGTGAGAGTGGCTGTGAAACTGAAACTCATCACCTCTTTGTGGCTTCTACTGCTGGAATACTGGCATTTGCTGTACCTGATCCTGGCTCCCAGTGAATGTGTTTTAATTGCCATAAACCACAAACTGAACCATATGCAAACGTGTATTTTCAACAGCACATCAGTGAATCCCTTTCACTTTCATTTGTGCTACAAGTAACGGGCTACAACCCCATAATACAATTATTTTCCCTTTAAAAGAAACTAAGAAAGGGAGCACATGTGATCTGTAAATCCCACAGGTGTATCTAGCATTACTTTTGTAAGCAATATGATGGCCAAATATCGTTGATACCCAGGAGTTTGGACTGTTCACAGGTGAGGGCGGCACTGACAGACAGTGGTGTGTGTTGTGCTGGGTGTTGTGTGCTGGGTGTTGTGTGCTGTGTTACTGTGTGCTGTGGAGTGTGGTGTTTGCTGTGTATTGCTGTGTGCTCTGTGTGCTGTGGTGTGTGTTCTGTGTGCTGTGTGTGTGTTGCTCTGTGGTGTGTGTGTGTTCTGTGTGCTGTGTGTTCTGTGTGCTCTGTGTGTGTGTTCTGTGTGCTCCGTGTTGTGATCTGTGTGCTCTGTGTGTTCTGTGCTCTGTTTTCTGTGTGCTCTGTGTGTGCTGTGAGCCCGGCCGGGGCCGGCTGTCGCTCCTCACCGGCACAGGCGGATGCCCGGGGTGGCGGAGCGCTCCCGCCGCGTACCGGGAAAATCCGCCCTTTGGGATAAGCCCATCCCCTTCGACTGCTCCGGAGGATGCTCCGACGCCTCTGCACAGCGAGCTCGGCCATGCCTAGGCACCAGAGCGGGCCCGGCCCCGGAGCCCTCCCGAGGGGAGGCGGGGAAGCCGCCGCCGGGCAGGCCGGGCCGCGCGGTTCCGCCGCGGGCCCCGGGCCGTGATCCCGCCGCCCTGGGGCAGGGCCGAGGCGGCTCCCCGACACACTTGCCACCGGATTAAATGCCCGGCACTGAGGAGGGGGATGGGAGAAAGAAAGGCTCCACAGAATCGCTTAGGTTCCTGAATAATTTAAATTCTTTGTAATTGATTGAACGTCGTTCTGTTTAGCATCCAAGTTTGTAAAAACGTCGAAAGACAAAAGAATTCGGTTTGCAAACATAATACGAAGTGTAAAGCACACCACAGATATTCATGAGCACCCAGGAGGTACTAAGCACTCCTGTACATTCGAGGCCCTTGCCAGCAGCTCCCACATCTTTGTTTCATTAACAGGGAGCCCTCCTTTATTTCCTGCTAAAGTCACCGACATCCGGACCGCTGTATTTATTGTCTCGCACGACTTCTCCCACAGATCTTCATTAAGGCTGAATGGCACTCACACAACGTGTTCTATCATAGTGTCGATGAATTGCTGCGTCTAGAAAACACTAAATGAATCCCAGCCCAAAAAGTATTCCTGAGATGAAGCTGGTCTGCTGTCCCCGCGGAGCGCTCTGCCAGCGGGGGGACTCGCAGGCCGTGGTGGCCTTCGGGACATCCCGGTGCCTCGCAGCAGCTCCATGATGGACCTTGGCTGGGAGGGTTTGGGGTTACCCGGAGGGACTGTAGTAAATGGAAAGACTTAGGGTGTTTTATTATTTTTTTTTCTTTTTGGTGCTTTCAGATGAAACAGTTTCATTTAGATGAGAAGCTATTGTCAGTTTCCTGGTGTCCCATTTTGATCCTTCCTCAGCTTGGGTTGAACTAAATGCATTGAAACCTATTCAAAAAAAAAAAAAAAAAAAAAAAAAAAAAAAAAGATGCTTGTACAGTCTTCCAGATGCTAAGATTTAGATCATTTGAACGTCAGCGCAGCCTTCTGGTAACAAAAAAACATCCAAATGGATTTCATTTGTGTGTTAACATCCGTCAGATGGGAGAGTAGCACAGTTTAGAGCTAAAGTCTGTTTTCATGGTTTTAGCAACTGGGTCCACATGAACATCTCGTCTGGCAAGTCAATAGGTTGAAGCTACACTGAACAGACCGAGTCCAAATATCTGAAATGACTCGGAATGGTTGTGCTAACAAATACTGATGTAATGTATGAGGCTATTACTGCTGTTTATATAGCTTCGCGTGGGCATGCAAATAGGTGGAGAGGGGGGTCACTGCGGGGAGAGACAGCTCGGAACGGACCGGGCGGGCTGCGAGCCCCGCAGCAGCGGGCGGGACCCGGGCCCGCGCCGAGCTACCGCCCGTGGGTCCGCGTTCCGTGAGCAGCAACCGAGCCCCGGCCCCTGTCCCTGGCCGAGCCCCGGTCCCGCAGCGTGCCGGGTCCTGTCCCGGCTGTCCGCGCTGGGTGGGGAATTTGTAACGCACGGGCCGGTGCTGCTGCCGCGGCAGCAGTAATGAAATAAAGCATAACATTAGTTAGGCACGACGCAGCAGGTGGCTTATTATGAGCCTTGCATATTCCTCTGCCTCCTGCTCTCATCAGAGCGCTGGTAATTAGGAAGGGGAAAAAATATTTTAGGCGTTTTAGGGAGTAAGAGGAGGAACGGGGCAGAGTCTGTGGCTGGGGCGTCCAGCGGGCCCGAGCCGGAGCCGGGCTGGGCTTCTTCCTCAAAGTCTCAGGGATAACAACCGTGGTGATTATGATACTAATAATTCTTATTGTTGTACCTTGGCGCAGATGGCGGCTGCTCTCTCAGGGAGGTTAAGAAGACAGCAAGTCCCATGAAGGCCGCTCTCTCCCTGCGCGCTCAGCCGCTTCCCGGCACGCACAAACAGCACGACGGATTCAGCTACCCCTGCCTCGGAGCTGCTCCCGATTTTGCTCGGGATGCCTTTAAACTTCCTGATGGCCAGCGGATTTAACGAAACCTTATTCTAAAAGCTCTCGCCATCCGAACCACGGGAGCAAGACGGGTTTGCAATAGCCCCGGAGCTGGCACGGCAAGCCCTGAGTGATGAAAGCTCTTGGTCCCTGCCCTAAATCCACTCCTCCTGCAGAGACATACTAGGCTTTGAGGTTCTCCACCAGAAGTACCCACACAAACACACGCACACACCCCCGACCCACGTCCCTGGCCGGTTTCTCCAGGTGAGCCGCTGCTGTTGCGTGGGATGTGCCCTTTGCTGCCCGGCCGCGCTCACGAGGCCCGCGGGCACGGCCCGCCGGGCTGCCCACGCTCGCCAGCCCTGCCCGCGGGAGGGCGGGCGCGGGGCCTCCCCCCGCCGGCCGGGACGGAGCCGGGGCGGGGAGAGATGCTCCCGGTGCCGCCGCGCCGTTCCCCGGCTGCTGCCGAGCCGGAGCACACCGGGAGCCGCCGCTCTGCCCAGAGCGCACGGGCGGACCCCCACCCGGCCGCCGGTGCGCACCCCGGCGGGAAGCCGCGTCCGCCCTGCTTCCTCCGCTCGCCGCCGGGGCTCCGCTGACAAACTCCAAGGAAGATCATTAGCATCCCTTGCCTTTTTTTTTTTTTTTTTTTTTTTTCAGATAGATTACCAAGCTGGCCACGTAGACCTGAGGGTCACATGGCTCAGGGGAGAAGGACAGAAACTGTCGCAGGAGTTAAGAGGAACGGGCAAACAAAGCCAAAGCGAGAAGTCATCTCGTGTGGCTGCTGCACAATCAGCTCCCCGGCTCCAGGGTGCTCGCAGTGAGCTCCCTCCTGCGAGAGCCGCTCCGCCGCAGCCCGGCCGGCAGCCGGCTCCTGCCTCCCGGGCGGCTCCCGCTTCCCCCCGGGAGGAAGTACGAGAAATGACTCCCGACCCTATATTCTTCTATTGTTTTGAGCCGGTGGATCAATTGTCATCAGTACTGTCACCTAAGAAGCAATGATTCCGATTCATCTTGGCATCTGATTTTATTCTAATGGGTTAAATTGGGTTCACTTTTACAATTATCCCAGGTTTGACTGCGTAGTATTGCATGACAACTCACAGTTTCATCGGGTTTGGCAAAGCGAGGTTGCTCCATGAATCCGTATATCATATCACATCAGATCAGGCTGAAGTTTGCTGTTTAGCGACTCCATTTGAGAGGCTTTTTATGAAAGTGGGAAGGGTTGATGCAGTCCATGGTTGGTTCAATGCGATTTGAAAAAAAAAAATCTGGAGAGATGGCAACAACCCGGGGTTTGCTGCTCAGCTGTGAATAAGCACAGAACGAAAAAAACGACGTGATGGGGAAACGCTCAGCTCGCTACAATATTTTTAACAGCCTCTCAGTCCTCGCCTTTTTTTAATTTCCTAATATGTTCTTTGCTTTATTAGTTTTATTTACAACCAGCTCCCCATTAACACCTCACCTGATTACTGAGGAGCTGAGACAGCTAATCAAGAAAATCCAGCAAACCAGCCAAAATCGAGAGGTGGGATTTATTTTTTTGCTTTCATTCAGGCTTCTTCTTTATTTATTTGTTTTGTTTTCGGAAATATTTCGAAACAAACAGTAAATAAAAGGCAGGTATCAGTGCATATTGGTGAAAGGTCAGAGGTTAGAAATTCACGTCAGTTCTGTATCAGAGGCTATGCAGAGGGCGGGAAGAGAGAGGGAGAGAAGGGAGGAAAAAAAACCTTTCCACCAAGCAGCTTGTTTATTTTAATTAACATAGGGATCCTCTGCTAGGAGCAAGGAACAACCTCCATCTACTGGCTAGATCATTGCGTCTCTTCTCCATTCAAAACCCATCCCTCATCACTCATTAAGGAGGGTACAATTTTGGAAGAAGCTTCTAAGGTCTCAAGGTAAGCTCCTGCATGAGTCTTTGCTACCAATGCAGCTATTTGGACCTCACGGATGTAATTTCCAGGGTGTTTCTTTGGCGCCGTGGTGTTGTTTGTTTGGTTGGGATTTTTTTTAACAACACAGAACGGTACTTTCCCCAGGTGTATTCGCAGATAATATTTCATGCATCTATGTTTTAATCTAGAAAAATAGCTCAGCTTGGGAAGCCTGAGCCTTTCAGCTCAGTTAAAAAAAAAAAAAAAAAAAAAAAAAAAAAAAAAAAAAGCTCCTTCTTTTGTGCTTCTTTTAATTTTTTCTTTTTAAATGGAATGACTTCTTTCACCTGTCTGTAATCCAGTCTGTAAGGGATTCCTTTTCAAAAGCAGCAAAATATGATAATTTCCAATGGCTTAATTACAAGCGGAGTGCAAATACGATTACAGCTAATACCAGACAACTATGGAGCTGACAGTGCTGAGGTCCTGGGCGGTGAACAGTTTCATGTTAGACAATAATCTGCCTCTCCTGCTTTCTTCTGGCTGTGTGATCACTTGTTTGTGGTCAATCACAGCGCTTGGCTATGGAAGATATGTGTTTGGGATTACTGTGCAAAGCACCTAGTTGTTTCTTATTTAAATATCATCTCCCTAAGCAGATGAATACGTGTCTTAATTGACATGTTTTCAGATTACCGGGAGCTACAAGCACATTGGAGGTTTGGGGAGTTTTAATCCGATGCCGGTAACGCTTAAAACACCCAGCGCTTGTGTCCCTCGCACCGCCAGCCCCGCGCAGCCTGGCAGGGGAGCAGAGGGGCTGGTGCCCGAGTCTGGCTGCCATGCACCGCCTTTAACATGTCCCTAGCACAGCGATCCCAAAGTTGCTTTACGGAACACTCGAGAGGACTCAAGGGAGAAGAAAGATGGTGACGGTAAAATACGTTGGATCTGACTCCGAAGCGCAATTTTAAATAATGTCTTTTAAAATAAAAAATAATTTTTAAAAATGAGATAAAATAAACCGCAACCTATTTGAATACTGAAAACTGTATTAGCTACATTTAGTGCCACCACCAAGAGATGTAATTCTATTCAGATTTCCCTTCTTTGTGTCTAGATTGGTTGCAGTGCCCGCGGACTTTACAAACAGATGAGACTGATCATTAATAGCACTGCACTCCACCACAAGCTCGTAGATCAGAAAATAGCGTTAGGATTTAAAAATAGACCTGGCTTTAACCACCCGACTTGCAGGCAACAGGATCGTAATCCTGTTGCTGTTATTACGACGCGCTTTAAATTTCTGGAAATGATTAAACTGGAAGTGTCTTGAAAAGTTCAGGTGCTGACGGAGAGGGTGTGAAGCTCTGGTGCCCTGCGGGGCGGGAGGCGGCTGGCCCGGGCAGCGCCCTGCGCCTGCAGCCGGACACGCCACGGCCTCAAATGCGGCAGGCGAAATCCAAACCACTTCTCCTCAAAGAACACCTCCTCCTCCTCCCCACCCCCCGCCTGAACACCCTCCCCTTTCTCCTAATTATTGTTGGTCAATTATTAATTTGCATATAGACCTTGTCCTAAATCCTCCGAACTAAACACGAGATCGTTCACGCTGTGCTAGGCTTTAGCCCGTAGCCCGTGGCCAGGGAGAACGCGGGCTGGGTGGCAGAGCGGATGCGGGGAGCGCACGCTGAAACCTTCCCAGGGCACCCACGCTAATTGCGAAGGTGGAAGGGGCTCCAGGCAGCGCCCGCGGAGCTGCGGGCAGGGGCTGCAGCCGGCCAGCGGGATGGCCGCGGGAGCTCTCCAGCCCTGCGTGCGCAGGCAAACGCTGTACCTGTGGAAATCCCCACAGCCATGTACCCCTCATCATCCCCATCAGCCCCCCATTAGCTCGGGGAGTTCGGGTAGAGCCTTACAGAAAGGAAAAGATCGAGAGCGCCTGTCACGTTACTAAAATATTCCGAATATTGCACATCAGATATTCTTTCTCAAATGCTATGGCAAAAGGAGATAAAAGCGCCCTGCGATGGAAAACTGTCGTTCACAGACAAAGTGCTAATGCCGATGGATTCATGAGGGGCAGGCTCGTAGATTTGGATTTTAGGTTCCCTGTCGTGTTCTTTGTGAGCTTTTCTCTCCCCCACCCCCCAAGCAAACCAGCAAAACTGTACGGAATCCCTCGTGCTATAATGGCAACCTCTCGCTACCAGCCTGCCTTAGAGCAGCGGAGCTCCAGTTCACAGCGAGGAATGAGATCTCAGGAACATTGAAATAGATTTACCTTGATCTCCTACAGGCCTTTTGGAAACGGAGAAGTCACGTTTGATGCTAGCAACAAACTTTTAGTGTCCCTTTAGGTAAGAAGTGGTCTGCCAGCATTAGGATGTTAATCAGAAAACGCCTTGGAAACCCCTGGCCTCCTTTACTGGAGCAGCAGCAGCTAGTAGCGTATCCTTAACCGTACCTGATGGAGCAGAAAGAAAGGACCCTCTAATTAATTAAGTGTGTCTAACCGGAGGAGGCTCAGTCATTTCTGAGTTTTGTTATGAGTCTGCCCAATTACTCCTAACGGCGCCGTCGAGCTAAGGTAGAGACGGGAATTTAGCAAGCAATATTTTCCGTGTCTCTGCCTTGGATGCTTTGACGCCGCACCTGCAGAGCGTTTCGGTGAACCCGAGACAGCAAACACGAGACAAATGGGGGAGAGGGCAGCGGTGCCCGCACCCGAGGCACCCGAGGCGAGGCACAGCCTGCTCGAGGGGCACAGGATCTCCACTTTAGCTTCCGATGGAACTGGGCCCAGCGGCAGCCGGGGGCCTGCCCCAGACCCCTCCCGCTCCCGGCGGACACGATGAGTTTGAGGTTCTCAGCCCGGCAGGGACACGGTCACAGCGGGACGGCGGCGGCGCTTCCGAGCGGGCTCTGCGGGGCCGGCCCGGGCGGGCGGGGGTCAGCGAGGGTCCTTCCTGCCTGGCACACGCCGGGGTGTCTTTGGCAACCCGAACGCCACGGGAAATGCAGACCATTTCCAGAAGAGCACATGCAACGTGAAATAGGGGCAGTTACCCCGACAACATAACTAGAGGAGAATACAGAAAAATTTCCTTCGAAGGGGAAAACACCCAGAACAAACCCTGAACGTGCTTGTAGAGTGCAAAGACTATATTGCAACGATTAGAAACAAACTCGTCTCTAAGGGAGATTTTTTTGGCTCTGTCGCAGCCATCGCAGCCATCTCCGAGCCAGGCGGGCGCACGCCGGCCGTACCTGCCGGGCGCAGGGCGAGCGGGCGAACCCTCCCGCACAGGGGCTCGCCCCCGCCCGCAGCGCCGCCGCCCCTCCCTTCCCTTCGCTTCCCTTCCCTTCCCTTCCCTCCTCCCGGGCCGCTCGACAAAGCCGCCGGGCTGGCCCGGGCCACGCAGCCCCGCGGGGGTGCCGGCCCCGCTCCCGTTCCCGGCGGGGCTGCGGGCCACAGGGAAGCACCCCCGAGCAGCCGGGGCGGCGCGGAGCGGCGCGGGAGGGAGGAGGTGGAGGAGGATTGGGGATCCCGAGCGAATAGCTCCCGTATCCCGGATTGAATCACCTTGTTTATTTTTCCTGATGTCTTATTGTGCTAATTGACTTGTTTTCTCCAAGGAAAGCCTATCTTTTCCTCCTCCTTCCCCACACACAGATTTTTTTTTTCTTCCAGTCCGGGAGTGCTCTGCAGAAGACTACGGCTTCTGGAGGGATCTGCCCTTTTTAAGGGAGATTCCCTCAGCCCTTTTTGAGACTCGTTGGTTTTATAGCTATTACTCTCTTATTAAAACACACACATATATACAACACATTGATTCCCATCCAAAAGGGCTAATTACATTACTTACAGTAAATAGCAGCCCTGCTGTCCAGGGTCTAGTGTGCCAACAGAGAAAAAAAATCCCGGCTTATTTCACTTGATTGACTTCATCTTTGTGTGAAATTGTGTTTTATGAGCTGTATTCTGGCACTCGGAGGAATGTAACAACATTCAATCTGCAAATAACATTAATTTTAGCTACTTAGGGGGAAAGAGAGGGGAGGAAACTTGCTGCCTGAATCTTGGGTTACATGGAAGAGGTGACTCGAGGAGCCCCTGAGGATGTCTCTGGGATGCTTTGGAAAGGAAGTGGGGGCTGGGGTACTTCTTTCACTAGTCGCGCTAGGGTTTGGTGTGGAGTGTTCCCCAGGGAGCAGGGAGCGCAGGACTGCCGCCAGGAAGATCCTTCAGTAGGGATCGAGGTGTCAGGAAACAGCCAGCAGCTGTTTCAGGGAAAGGCAAGGAAGAGCGGTGTGAAAAGTAAGTAGGAAAACGGGGAACGGAGGGGAGGGAGAGCAGACAGAGAGATTAGCCTGGAAGGAATGCATCGCCGGGTGCCCTGCACACAATGATCGCTCGCAGCCGCGGCCGGGCAGCGGGCGAGGGTCGCGCTAGGGCGTCCCCGGCCGGCCGGGACTGGCCCCGCGGAGGGGCCGCGTCCTGCTGCGGGTACGGGCGGGGGCACCGCGGGCAGCAGGGCGGGCAGCGCCCCGGGAGGCGCTCGAACTGCCCGGGCCGCCCCCGGCTCCCCGGCTCCCCCAGCTCAGCATCCCTCCGCGGGCCCGGGGAGCGCTCCGGCCTCTCCAGCCCGCCTCGGCCGCTCCTCTTCCTTCTCCCGTGCCCGCGGCGGAGCCGGGCGCGGCGGGGCCAGCCCGAGCGGCCGCCGAACGGAGGTTCCCGCGGCGCGGCCCGGGGGAGCGGGGCCCCGGGGGCAGAGCGGGCCACCCTGCCCCTCGCCAGGCGCCGTCGCCTCCAACTCCCGGGACTCCGTGTTTGGGGGAGGTAATAAATCCCACCCCACCCACAGCCCCGACCGTAATGTTTGTCACTGCTTGCCCATCACTAGGGGTTGAGAGGAGTATGACAGGTCTTTGTTGTCTGAATAAAAATCAGTGGCAGCTCAAGGGAGAGAACTCCTCCTACTAAATTATCAAAAATGGGCTGGCTTTAGTCTCTTAACAAATTGGACAGAGCTCCGGAAAGCAGCAGTCCCAAATCCAACCTACAGGCACTGGGAACTTTAAAGCAACCAGGGACTGCTGAAAATAGCACTTCTTTTTGCTTTCTTTGTATTCAAAACTATATCCTTTCCCGACTGATTCTACTGCCCCAGGTCCAAGTCTCTCCAGTCAGAAGCCCCCAGCTCTCCAGACCAGTAACAGATCCTTTAGCTAGCTTTTATTATTTTATTTTTTAAACTAATTATTATTACATTTTCTCCCCCTTGTTTGTTTTCTGCACATCTTCAGGAAGCCCTCAGTGCTTGCGCAAAGAGAAGCTCCTATTTGCAACCTCCCTCCCTGCGCTGTGCGCCTCGGTGTAAACATTTTGGATGATCTAAAGACTCTGGGGTCTGTATATGGAAATAGTGGGGTGCAGAGCAGAAGAAAATACTTGTCCTTTCCGTCCCCCAGCCATGCTTTTCCACGGGATCTCCGGAGGCCACATCCAAGGAATCATGGAGGAGATGGAGAGGCGATCCAAGACCGAGTCCCGCCTGGCCAAAGGGGGACAGATGAACGGCCGAGACACGGTAAGAATGGAGCTGGCGCTCTTTGCAAGGGAATCCCTGCAAGCATGGACCCGCGTCGGGACAGACCCTGACTTTGGGGAAGAGAAAGACGCTGCTTCCCTCTGTCCCTTCCCTGTCACCCCTTGCTTGTGGAACCCCTTCCGACGCTCTCTGTAAACCCACCCGTAAGGCTGGGTGCTGTGCTGGCCAGGCTCGGTTATACATTTGTCTAATCCGTGTCGCTGCGTGTGCTCTCTGGATTAGCGGGGAAACTGCTCTAAATCGTAGCAGAGACGGGGTTTCAGCCCTTGCGGCGGAGCAGCCTTTTGCCCCCGCGGCTGCCTGCGGCCGCTCTG